GGGGGGTTGGACTTTTACTTCCTAATGATGTTTCAAGGCGCTCTGGTGTTGCAGGGTTAAGTGCTCAGCTGCTCACCCACAAGTCGGCAGTTGGGAGCTACCCGCAGCTCCAAGGTGGCACGGACTCTCTGGTCCCAGCAAAAACGATAATGTCGTACTGAGGCTGCTCGCAGAATGATGTTTGATTCCGGGAGCCCGCACCTGTGAGGAGCTGCCCTGGGGCTCCAGGTGTGCAGGGAGGTTGCTGTGGGGTTCTGGGTAGAGACAGGCTCTAGGGGCAGACTGCCAGGTTCCAACCTGGACTGGCTGGCATGACTAGCTGTGTGAGGTTGGGAGTGTTTTTAACCCCCCTGTGCCTCAGTTTCTTGACCTGTAAAGTGGGCTACCAGTGCAGAGGGAGGTTTCTGGAAAGTTAACACGAGAACCACTGGGAACAGTGCCTGCTCTGGGCTGTGTCCCGGCACATATGTCCCAGGCCTAGCCCCGCTGCTGATGAATGGAACCTCGTTTGGAAATAGCATCTTTGCAGATGGCGTGAGTGAAATGAACACAAGGTGAACTTAACCTTGGAGCAGGGTGGGTCCTAACCCAATCTGACTGGTGCCCAGCTGAAAGAAACGCCAAGACAAAGACAGACACCAGGAGAAGATGGCCATGGGACGATGGAGCAGAGGCCAGAGGGAGGCCTTGAATCCAATGAAAACCAAGGCTTTCCGGAAACCACCAGCAGCTGGGAGAGACAAGGAAGGCTCTTCCCTCAGAGGCTTCAGAGAGGAAGTGGGCCTGCTACCATCAGGGTTATGAAAGGGTGAGTTTCTGTTTGTGGAGAGGGCACGGAGAGGCACGCTGGCTGGAGGCAGGTCCCGCAATGTGAGGCTGCAGCACCGTGGCCGCCTGCAGTGGGGATTGAGGCCCTGGCAGAGGGTTCAGTTTGGGGTACGGTCACCATTCCAGCCATCAGTGCAGGCATCTCAGCTACGGAACCACTGGAGCTGGTCCGGTCTGTACAACGGGTTTGTCTGCTCGTTCCAGAGCCTTCCGATGCCACCCGCACCTGACACAGCCCCTCTGCATCAGCTAGTAAGGAACAGGGCCCCCTGCCTCCGCGTCCCTTCGGAGAAGCACCCTAGTTACTACAAGCATCTGTCTCCTGAAGGCTGAGGCCTTGGGTTTGCAAGGGGGGCTGGGGTGCTGGGCTACCTGGTCCCTCAGCCAGCAGCTGGCTCCCTGGTCTTACCTGGGCGAGATGGGCCCACAGAGGGCGGCACAGCAGTTGGTGAAGATGTTCCCATAGCTGTAAGGATTGTAATTCTCTTTCCCTCTCTTGTTGGACCAAGATCCCTTAATCTGGAGGGGAATAAAAAGACAGCTGTTCATACCCAATAGCCTCCTCCTCAGAGTCCCTGCTCAGGTTGGGCGAACCGTGAGGAGACAACTGGGAAGGCAACACCATCAGGACCTGTCTCTTCAGCAGAGGTGGTCACATGTCACCACTGTGTTTTCCTGGGAAAACTGGCATTTACTCCAAACTGGGAAATACTCAGCCCCCCAGAGGCAGGTTAGACCAGAGGAAGGAAGACGGCCTCTGTCTTCAGCACACGGTACCAGTGAAAGCCAACTCGCCTACGTCCAAGTGGGAAGGGGTTTGGTGAGGATTTCATCAAACTGATAAGGATGCCCCAAGTGGTAATTAGAAGTCCTGGTGGCCTACTGGGCTATGTGTTGGGCTGCTGACCAAAAGGCCAGCAGTTTGAAACCACAAGTCTGCTCGGGAGAAAGATGAGGCTCTCTACTCCTGTAACCCACGGGCCAGTTCTCTGCCTCTGGGGTCCCTATGAGGTGGAATTAGCTGGCTGGCACTTGGTTAGGTTTTGGTTTTAATAGAGCTGTGTGACAGTAACAGCAAAGCCACCCTGTAATGGGGGAAATCATAGAACTATACTTAGAGGGGCAGTAATCCTTGAAGATGTTTAGACAAATCCATGTCGCAGAGGGGAGTAAGGTCAGGGATGCGTGCGAGTCGGAACTGACTTGATGGCAGTGAGTTTCTCAGGAGTCATTAAGTGGCAGCGAGAAGGTAACACGGCGCCTTTAACTGCCAAGGGGGGGTGCTCCGCTGTGGGCACCCAGCCCACAGTGCTGCCCAGAGGCCTGTGCCAGATTCTCACATCCAGTTAGTAACCAAACACAGATGGCGCTACTGAGCTGATCTTATCTGGGAGCTCCCGGGTCGGTTCTGAGGCAGAGTTGGTTCCTGCCCTGACAGAGCTTCTGCTGAAACGGAGACAGAAGGAGCAGAAAGAACTAAGCTCCTCAGTAATCAGGTTTGACTTGATGTTCCATGTCTTTATTAAACACCTCCCCTCCCATCTGCATCAAGTTACAGGCAGATGAGTTTGGGTGAAGAGAGTTAAGTGTGGGGTTTATGGGGGGACCAACTCTTCCCCTAATAGGTCAGCCTGTCGGGGTCTCTGAGGAGACGTGTGACAAGCTGTGTGCAGAATGGCGGGAGTACCAGAGAGCCGCCTCCTGGCTTTGTTGCCTGCCTGGTCTGTTTGCAGTGAGAGCCCCCAGACGTCAAAGGGAGAAGAGGCAGCGGCAGAGCAGCCAGTGGACGTGCTGTGGCAGGGTCACCCAGGCAATGGGCTGGGCGAGGAGGCTGGCCCCCAACCCCCTCTCCTCTCCGCGCCCCCACCCACGGCGGCTGGCACTTACGTCTTCATTCGTCGTCTGGTTGGAGCTGATCAAGTACGTGTGGAAACCTGAGAGACCAACGATGGACCAGACGGAGAAGAAGCACACCACCGCCTCCAGCACAGTGGGGGTGTCAAGGAAGACACGCCGAGGGAAGGGCCCATCCCTGGGGGCCTGCCCACCCAAGGCTCGGGGAACCCGGGCTGTGGAATTGTGACACCCCTGGGCGCCATGTGGACTCCTCGCCTCCATCCCAGGGGTAACGTCAGCTAAGCCACCTGCCAACACAGCAGTCAGCGTGGGTCCCGCAGCGCTCTCCTGCTGCTGTTAGCTCTGGTCCCAGCAGTCAGTTCCTGTCTCCTTGCCCCCACCCTTCACCTTTCCTGTGACGCATTTGGTCGCCACTGACCTGGCATTAACCTCAGGAAGGGCACTGCTTTGAGTGGGCCTTCCAAGAAAGGACCCACAGTGGACATCACTCCAACCACAGACTTACTCGGGCACGAATCCGAATCTCCCCCAGGACTGTAGCATCAACAGGTGCCTCCCGTGGCCGGACAGAGGCGAGGGCACTAACGAGAGTATCGAGCTAACACGCCAACAAGAGTTGGCTCCAGGAGGTGGGGGCCCCGATGGTTTATCTTCATGGCTTATCTCTGCCTTAGCAGTCATCCCACCCTGGGGTGACCGTGCACTGACCGCCCCCTTGGAGGGTGGCTTCTGAACCAAGAAAGTCTCTTTAAATGGACTGTCCAGCTTTAAGACAAGGACGTGGAATCCTCGGCCACCCAGCTGAGGTAGCTCAGCCCAAAGTAGAGCAACTGGAAAGATGAGAGCATTTTTTCTCTCCCACGAATGTTTATGAAATTCTTCTGAGAAGATACAGATGTTCCTTGGGGTAAAAATAATCATGGGAGTTGGAGCCCAGCTGTGCTCTGCTGGGTGCTCGGCAGATGAAGGGACTTCCTGGCCTGGGCGAGCCCACTCAGGGGCCTGCTCTTTTCCCCACGCCTCAGGCGCACCGCTGCCGGAGACCCCTCCCGGCCACGACCCCCACCTTTTCAAAGCCAGTGGCAAGGCCACCTCTGAAGTTTCTCCTGGGTCCCCACAGGACATGTGTCCTTTCTGCAACTTGACACCCCCAGGTGCACCCCACATCTTTTATGACATAAAAAACATACTGTCTGTTGAAAGTTCAGTCACAGCCCCAGCCCAGGTCTCAGCGAATGCCCGGTGAACAAAAGGATGGGTCTCACTTCACTGTCCTCCATCCACACTGCATCCTGCCTTCCCTCTGGGGGTGCCTGCCAGCTGGGGGTGGGTGGGGCTGCTCTAGCTTTGCGGCCCTCAGGGCCCCTGCACATGGTGGGCTCATGGTATGGAAGAGAGATGCCCACTGCATCTCCGAGGCTCACGTCTGCCCAGACATTTTTTATAAGGTGGTCCTCTCCTCCTTTTTCCTGGGGGTGGGGCAGGGGCATCCTGAGAGCCCCCTGGCCGGACAGCCACCCCACTGACTCCCAGCTCTCCAGAGACCCCACATCTCTGACCCGAGGAGAGGGAGACACCGAAGGAGAGGGAGTTGCAGGGAGGGCAGCGAGTGGACAGGGAGCTACGGCCGTGGTGATGAGGCCAGCGTGCTCCCCCCTAGGGAGGCCCAAGCTGAAGGAGGAACCAGCCACTTGCACCTCCTCTCTTCCTCCCCCCGCCCCCCTACTGTCTGCTCCTGGAGTGGTCATGATCTGTCCCCACTCACTTCTCACCTCGCCCCTCCATAGCCGGCACAGCCAATCTGTGAGAAAGTTCTGCCTGGGCCCCACCTCTCATCCACACCTGGTACTGCACCCAAGGGATCAGACTGGTGGTCCTTGGAAATTCTTAAACAGAGCCACTTTCTGGCCTGAGGACCACAACCCAAGGTGACAGCAAACTTGCTTCCACAACCACACCCAGGGCTCAAGTTATTCTGCCAGGACCATCTAGGGACGCAGCATTTTAGGGATCCTTGCTTGGGGCAGTCAGCAGATCCATCGATCAGAGGGCAGCTCAGGAGAGTGAGGTGTGTTGTAAATCAACCTCAAGAGCCCAGAGCCATGGACGCTGCACAGAGAAAGGAGCCCAGTGGGAGGGCGTTTGCCGCACAGTCGGGTTGGCTCTGGCTCTCAGCGACATGGGGTGTGACAAAATGAAAGGCGGCCTGCCCTGGCATTGAGCTCTCCCTGGTCTATTGCGGAACCTAATGCCTGACCAGCAGGTCCTCCTCTGACACCGCAGGCACTGGCTGCAGTGAGTGGATGCTGACTCACAGTGACCAGCTAGGGCAGAGTGGGATGCCCGTGGGTTTCAGAGACTGACTCTTTATGGGAGTAGAAAGCCTCGTGGGAGCTGGCTGGTGGTTTTGACCCGACCTTGTGGTTGCCAGTGCAATGTTTAACCACCAAGCCACCAGGGCTCCATTGCTTCTCCAGGCCAGGCCATGTCGGAGCACTTGCACACTCTTCATCAGGAGATGAAAGCTGTCCCTTATAGGCTTCTATCTGGCCATCCCCAAGCTTCTGCCGAAGCCGCTCGGGGGTCCTGAGGAGGGACAGTCACCCTGCACAGGGAGTGTGTGTTGCCAAGGGCCAGCTGAGCTCACCACACTGCCCCATTCAACCGGCACACAGCGCTTCCTGGGCTGCAGGCCACAGCCCACAATGCAAGGGGTGGGCTCATCCTTCTGGGTCTCAGGCTTGTGAGCAAGCACTAGACAGGCCTGCTTCTTCTCCAGCACATGCACACACACGGAAACCCTTCTCCAGGCGCCCTTGACGGTGAGGGGTTGGCAGCACACATATGGAATGTCTACATGCTTTATCATACACGTATGTGTGCACAAGCTGCAAGCACATGTGTAATCCAGCAATCCTGGGCTCTGCCCCCTCTTCCAGATCTACCAGAAAGGGCAGCGAGGGTGGGCACGGGCTCAGAAGGGTCTCCTCGGCCTGTAGGCAAGCCTCACACAATTTCTCTCCAAAGTGCCTGGTTCCTGGGCACCCCTACCCTACCCCACAGGACTGTGCGATCGGCAGAAAATGGCTCCCCAAGAGCCCATGTTCCCCGGCCTGTACACAGCAGATAGGACTCGGCAAATGTAAGCTTAGAGGACTTGAGGTGGGAGGAGATCCCTATGGGATCCTGAGGCTTTAACAGCATAGAACCTTCCAGCTGAGGTCAGAGGGAGAGGAGGGAGGCAGTGAGGATGAGTTCATGCAGGAGAGACCACGGGGAATATGAAGGGGTTTCCGTTGCTGAGAGCACGCTTGGCCCATAGCCAGGAAATGGGGATCACAGCCTATACCCCAGGGTGTCAGAAACCAGCCTGCTAAGAGTCCTTGGGTCCAACTGCAGGCCACCTGCACCCTAGTCTCTGTGGGTCGCAGAGCAGAGAAGCCCCTGCGTGTCGCTGTTTGTCACACCAGTATGGGAGATGGATGCAGGAGACCCAGGGGGTCTCTGCCTGATCTGACTAGGACACTTGGTCTTCTCCAGTGGTGGAGCCAGGGGTGCTGGGGTAATGCTGGCAGGGGCACAGACAGAAAGCACTGAGCGATGTCAACACTATTTGGAAGGGCAGTGACTGGGAGGTGTGAATTTTCCAAGATTGGGCCAGAGGGAGAACTCCTTACCAGCAGGTGATTTCTAGCGGGAAAGTAAACTGGCCTTTGCTCCGGGCTACGCACAGAGGCCCACTTCTCAGCTCTCCGCTTCTCTCCAACCAACAGACCCTGAGCCAAATCAGCAGCCTTTGCCACCTGCCCTGCCTGGGCGACTCAGTGCTACCCATGAGGCAGCGCCACCCCCCCAACACACACACCACTGGGCCTGCTTCCTAAGGGAAGGTTCTGCAAGAGCCCGCCAGTCACATACACCATCACAAAAAGAATCCTCGCAGAGATCACTCGTGCCACGGCGAGGAAGTGCTTGGGGGCCGGGCGCTCACTTGTGTTACCCATAGAGTTGACTTTGTCAGCATCATCGACAAGTTCAGGGTGGTCTGATTATTGTGATGAACAAGTCTCACTCAGAAAAGGGCTCAGCTATGGATTGAGATAAGAGTTGTAGGAGCCCCTAACAAAATGATTAAAAAAAAAAAAAGAAAGGGCTCAGCAGTGGCCCTAGCCCTCGGGCTAACCTCTCTGAGAGCAGGCAGAAAGCCTTCTCCAGGCAATGACCGATGCCCAGGGGCTTGCTTTCAGAGGGCTAACTCCCAGCTGCCCCAGGGCCAGGGCGGCACCTGACAGGTGATGCCCATGGGCATGGGGAGCAGCAGGTGCCTCAGCCCTAGGGATGCTGTAGCTGGGACCACCCAGCCTTCGTCAGCAGCGGAAGTGTCCCCCATCCACGGAGAGGCTCACCACTGTTGATGGGAAAGCTCGGCGGGCCTCGGGGCCAGGGCACGCAGGTGGGGCCCGAGGGGAGGGGGCGTGTTTGATGCTATGCCCTTTCAGTGTCAGGAAGGAAGCGTTCCAGTTGGCCGCCCGGAACACAATTCCGGTTCCGAGGCTTATTTATAAAACTTAATATGACCAGCATGTTTTCATGATGTAACCAATGTCCTGGAAGGCACAGACAAGCCTTTCTTCAGGGAAGAAAAGACGAGGCACGTCCCCAACATGATGCCAAAGCAGCATTCCTGGAAAATTACCGAGGCCATGGGGCAGGGAGATGTCACCTGATTAGGTCTGGGAAGCAGGAGGGGGCAGGCGGTGTTCACCACCTTTCTGAGCAGTCACAGATGCGCCCGAGTTTACTCACCCTTCTGGCCGACGCTGGCGTCTCCTGGCATGAGCAAAGGCCAGGCTGTACCCACAGCACTTCCTCTCCAAGTCCCCTGGCACTCACCTTCCACGGTTCAGATTTGCATGAAAAAGAAAGTAGCCAGAATCTGTGGACTCCCTGCTTGCTGCAAATGGCTAAGTCCTAGCCCAAAGGTGGGCCGTTTGAACCCACCCAGAGGCACCAGGAAGGTTTGGAATCTAGTGCAGAAAAATCCACCCGGTGACAATCCGCCAAGGATATAGTTCTACTCCGACCCACAGGGGCCGCAATAAATCGGAATCAGCAGCAATGAGTCACCACATAGGCTAATACCTCTCCGAGATGGCTATCTATGCCGCCCCCAAGCCCAAAGGCACCTTGATCCGCGTGTACTTACAGGTAAGGAGGTACCCACACATGCATGCCCACTGCCTTCGAGTCGACCCCAGCTCACGGTGACCCTGCAGGACGGAGTAGAACTCCTCCTAAGGGCCTCTGTGGTGGCCATCTTCCCAGAAGCCAAATATCACTTTTCCTCCCTCAAATTGGCTGGTGGGCACAAACTACTGGACTTCTGTTAGCGGTTGAGTGCTTAACCATTGAGCCACCGGGGCTCCCACATGTTCCTAACCCTAAGTACTCTGAGCCAACTCATGGTGACCCCACAGGGCGAGGAAAACTGCCCCTGTGGGTTTCTGGGACTGTAACTCTTTAGAGAGCAGAAAGCCCAGCCTTCTCCCTTGGAGCGGCTGGTGGGTCAAACTTCTGACTTTCTCGTTAGCAGCCCAAACATACATGGAGGCCCACATGCAACTTTAGATCTACTACATACTCCAGTCTGTCGGCAAACCAATTCACTTCCAACGCCCAGGGGCCCCCAGCGTTCCAGAGCGGACCAGCACCCAGGGTCCCGATGTCTTGGAGAGACATTCATGAACAGGCCTTTCCTTTGAGGGGCACCTCTGGGTGATAAACTTCCGGTTAGGAGTTGAGGGTTTATCCGTGCATAGGACCCCGGTGTCCTCTCACAGCTACGCACCTCCCCCAAACCAGCCTGATGTCCCCGGAACCACTGCTGGGTTCTGCAGACGGGCGAGAATCCGTAATGGGGCTTTCTAGCTAAGGGGCACTTCAGGGTAGACACGGGGAAATGAGCCCCGTGCGGCTTAGCAATATCAGGTGCTGGGGTATGTTCAAATGAGTATTGGGGAGCACTCTGGATGCTAACCGCAAGGGCAGCAGTTTGAAACCACCAGCCGCACTGGAGCGGAATGACCAGCTTTCTATTCCCATGAAGCGTTACAGTCTCTCAACCCCACAAGGACGGTTCTGCCCTGTCTTTTGGGTCGCCATGAGTCAGCATCGACTCATTGATGGCGGTGAGTTTGGTTTCTGGAGTGGGGATACTTTGCAGAACCTAGAAGAACAGTGTTTGTGGGAGAAAAGCCGGGGCAGGTTAGGAGGCAGAGAGGGAGGCGGGGAGAAGGTCATTCCCACACACAGGCCCGGGCCCGGTAGCACAGTATCCCCAGAAAGGATATCTCGCAGGGCTGTCCTTAATAGCATTGAGGAATCCTGTTTGCTGCGAGCCTGTGGGGAGGGAGACAGAGTTTAGTGTCCACGCGTTCACTTCCAGAACAAACCGCTTCCCTCTGAACCCACCCTCGCCTACACAGACACAGCAGCTGCCCAGTTCGGAGAACTCATGGTTCTGTGGAAGTCTCTAGGCAGGAGATGGAGACTCCCTCCCACAGGAGGCGGGCATGGGCGGGCAGGGCCTCTGCCCAGGCCATGGCCGTCTGCCGTCTTCCCACGAACGGCCCTTGGGCTGTCCGGTCTGACGAGGGACACAAATGCTGGCTGCTGCTTTTTCCCTAACCCCTTTTCTCAGATGGAAGACGATTTCCCAAAGTTTGTAAACTTTTGACCCAGGCAGGGCTATCCACTGGGCTACGTAAACAAGACGTCGTTCCAGATGTCTGGGCGCACACACCCAGAGTAAATGTGCAGGAACCGATGTTTACAGCTGATTCCTTTAAAAAAAATAAAACCATAACAAAACAAACTCGCTGCCATCGAGTCAATTGCAACTCAGTGACCCCATCGGGCAGGGTAGAACCGCCCCTGTGCGCTCCGAGGCTTAAAATCTTGATGGGAGTAGAAAGCCTCATCTTTCGCCCGTGGAGCGGCTGGTAGATTCGAACCTTGGACCCTATGGTTTGCATAACCCACTACGCTGCCAAGGCACCATCTGATTTTAAAGATGGACTTGCTGTGCAAGAAAGCACTTCTTCAGGGCCTGAGCGCACAAGCATTTGACATGGGGCACTTTGGGGTTGTATGTGTTGGTGTTACGCTTTTCAAACACCAGCAGCAGCATGGGGGGATGTCGCCCTGGCTTAGCTGGGCTGAGAGTCTGGTCTCAGGGTCAGACATGACCCTCGCCAGCAATGCCAAGGGCAGGGGGTGCCGGTGGAGGGCAGATGCTGCTACATGTCTGGGGTGTGTTGCTGTGGGTCTGGCTGCAACATGGAGCCCGGGTGAGGGAGGATGGGTCCAGCTCGGGGAAGGCCAAGAGGGGACTGGCTATGAATCCTTCCTCCAGCTCCCCTTTGTGCCCACACCCACCACCAAGGTACCTCCAGATTTTCCCAGGACTGGGGTGAGGCTCTGGGAGGCTGGAAGAGGCATCATGTGGAGAACAGATAGAGGAGATGAAGACTTAAAGTCCTCCCACCTCTGCCAGCCCAGTAGGGCCAGAGCAGCTGTGGCTGTGACCGCCAAGACCCAGTGGTCATGGAAGGGCGCCTGATCACTGCTGGTCCCAAACTGCACTGCTTTCTGTAATTCCCTCCTCTACAAGGAAGCCCACGTTTCCACCCAGGTATCCCTGAGGTGCCGGAATTCCTCCCCCAGCCTCCACCCTTCACCACGTCTCCCCCACTTTGGGCCGCTACCCCACAGGGCCCAAACTCGCCGCCATTGAGTCATTTCCGACTCATAGCGACCCTCTCGGACAGGGTAGAACTGCCCCTGTGGGTTTCTGAGACTGAAGGTCTTTACAGGAGCCGGCAGGGGCAGCTCATGTGAAAACCTTTGCCCTCTGGGGGCGGCAGTGGGGCTGTTTGGGGGTGGAGGGCTGCACAGGACACAAGGAAAGGAAAACCTATATGCGTTTGCCTACATTATTGAAATATTTGAATTTGTCAAAATATCGGGGGGGGGGGGTGCTTTACAGTTTGTGTACAAATTCCATTTTTCCCACAAACCTTTTCTGAAGCCCCCTTTTAAGCTGTCAATATTTTGTCCAGAAGCAGAGAAATGCTCCACCCTTGGAGGGAGGAGGGCAGGATTGGCACAATGCAGTGTAAGCCACCAGTGTCCATAGGGGCTTCAGGGAGATGCACGTACGTGCAGGTGTGTTACAACCGTGGGGGTGACCACATGTGGAGGTGGGCACGGGTCACCGGAGGGTTTGTGTGCGACTCAGGAGATGCAAGCTGGCTCTCGGTTTCTGGGATGTTCTGATGAGGCTGCAAACCAAACCAAGTCCACTGCCCACGAGTCGATTAGGACTCATCGTGACCCTGTAGGGCGGGTAGGGCGGCCCCTGTGGGTCTCCGGGACTGTAAAGTCTAAGGAGCAGGAAGCCTCATCTTTTCCCCAAGGTGGTTTTGAACTGTTGACCTTGTGGGTCCGCAGCCCCATGTGTCATCCACTAGGCTAACAGGGCGTGTGTAAGTAAGAGAGCTGTGAGAAGTGATGTCATAGGGTGTCGTGTGTGCATATGCCGTCGTCCGTGCGCTTCGCCAGAGTCGCGTGCTTCCTTTGTCTTTAACAAAGGAAGGTTTGTGGCGATTCTGGGTTAAGCAAGCCTCCTTCCAAACTCGAGGCCATCGAGCCGATGCTGACTCATCACGACCCTGCAGGACAGGGTAGAACTGGCCCTGCGTGTTTCTGAGACGTGGCTCCTTATGGGTGCAGAACGGAAGCCACGCTCCCCAACCATGTGCGCTCATGTCCTGTCTCTGAGTCACCCCACCCCATTCTCACCCTTTTTAAGCGTTCTTACTGTGCTGCTGAGCACTGACAGATTACAGTTTAGCGTCAGCATAACTTCAAGGGGCCCTGGGAATCCCCCCAATGCCCTTGGCTTATTTCATTTGGGTTGACTGGAACCGATCGATCAGAATCTCTGAGGTGCTGCCTGCAATGGCTGCCCTGACGCTAAGCGTCAGCACCCCGAGCACCCTCTCTGCTTATGTGCTCTACAGACCACATTTCCGTCTCTTCATGGTTCTTAAAATCAAAAGAAGAGGGGCTTCCTCAGAGCCAGGGTGGGTGTCAACGCCCCAAGGGGGGAGAGGTGTCTTCCTGCTGAGCTATGGCTGCTCACGCAAGTAGCCAGACTGCAGCGAGACAAAATGGGGCCAGGATTTAAAACACACAAGCACTCGGGGGGGCAGTCCTGATTCAGTGGCCAGATTTGATGAAAATAAAGCTACAAGCAGAAACGAATGGGAAACCTTCCACACTGTCCACTGCCCCCAGCCTCGTCACAGGGCCCAGCGGAAGAGAAGAGTGAGGGATGGGCAGACCTAACTTCAGCCTTAGCAACCTGTGGCTTTAGCGCCGCCCCACTGGAAGCAAGTGAGGCCAGTTTCCAGATGCTTCTGGAACATTCTCTGCACTTGCTAGCAGAGCGTAGGCAGGACGGAGGCAATGCTGGCCTCTCCCGTGGCTAGTGGCATGGGAACGGAGTGCTCTGGGTGGACAGACACAGTCACCCCCTTCCAGGCACTCCCTGCTGGAGGCCCAGGAATGGCCAAGAGAAGAAGGCCGGGCCGGGCTTGGCCCTCAGAACAGGGAGTGAAAAATGCCACTTGCTTACGCAACCTTTTAGCCATTGCCATCCGCTCTCATTTTCTTCTTTTCACTCCTCGCCCCAAAGCTGACAGTAATAACCTTTATAAGTCATCACCTGTCATGATAACCATTCTGATTTTAAAGTAAAATGGCTTCCTTTATATGGCCAGGGTTATCTACACATGTTGTAGCAAGCTATTGAACAAGTTGTACCCAAATGCTCACCTGTAACAGACACGGGCTTGCATGTAAGAAACGCAGTCTTTGCCCCTCGACATTCCAGCCCATCTCCTCCCTGCCCAAGCCTGCTTGCAGTGTGTGTGCGTGTGTGTATGTGTGTGTGTGACCCCTTCTGCTTAAGCACCGAGGGCATTAAAAAAAGGACCCCACTGTCCAGTGAGTAACCCCGGCACCCGCAGCAGCTGCCGTCTGTGCAGAGCATGGGGATGGTCCTTCGAGGACAGCCCTCGGAGTGGGCCCGATGGGTCTGGCCGGGGAAATGAGAGTCTGGGAAAAGTCAGTCATTGAAAGAAGACCCCCCTCCCAGTCATGGGAACAGTTGTTGGCAGGAGGGGTGGGTGCTGGGAGGAGGGGTGAGGAGGAGGGATGGGAGGCGTGGAGGAGGGCGAGAAGGGAAAGGGAGGAGGAGGAGGAAGAGAAAGCCCGGAATGATGCAGAGATGAATAGGAAGGAACTCATAAAAGCAAGGCCAGGCCAGTGGGGACACACATAATCTGGTTCCGCAGCATACTTACGAAGGATGACGTGGGTGATTACGAATGCAAATATAAAGACTGTCAGAAAAGACAGAGATAAAATAAACATAAAAAAAAATCTGTAGTTTCTTTTCCCCACACAGTTGCCTACCCAGGGACAGTGGTGATCAAACCGTTCTGAAATGAGAGGCAGAAAAGAAAAAGAAAAATCAATTAATAAAATGTTCTGTTAAGCTTGGGGGAGTACCCACCCCCCACCCCTTCCCACCACCCAATACTCTGAATCACAGAAGGGTGTCGTTATACAGGAACCCTGAGGAACATGATGCCTCTCAAGACACCGAGGACTTGAGTCTCGACAGGAGGTAGGCGTTCAAGCCACAAAAGGTGGCATTGTTCTTACATGGTAACAACTTAAAGAAGCAGCACAAAGGCTCATCACACACAAGTAAGAAAGTATTTCCTGTCCTTAAAGACACCTCTCTGTGTTCCCAGGATAACACTGTTCCCTGCAGTTGGTACCAACACTTGAGCTTATGTGTTGGGCTGCACTTCCTGGTCTTCGCTCAGTCGGTGGCCATGGAGACAGGACATAGGGGTGTGGGACAGGGGGACTGGGGTCAAAACCAGGTGCTCACATCCCGGGAACAACTGTTCTCTCCTCGGAATGTCTCCTCCGCTTGAATAGCAGTAGCACAATTGCTATCATTTGATAAACCAATCTTTTATTTTTTTTTAAACTCTGTATTGTGAATTGGGGGGGGGGGTTACATTTCAGATCATCTATTTGGTATCCACTTCAAACTTCTTGTCGAATGTTTCAACAGCTTGCCCTGACCCCACTTTGATTTCTCTGTACCCTCTGGTAGAATAATACTGCCTTCCCCTTCCCCCAGGGGTAACACCTGTCTACCTCCAGCCTATGGCTTACTGTCCCGCCCTGCCCCTGCCGCCCCCAGGAAGGGTCACCCAGCAAACTGGGTTCCCTGTGGCCACTTCCGCACACGCTGTGCAGCCACTTCAGCTCTGCTTTGCACAGCGTGGCCACGTGCTCACTGTGTTCTGGTGGCTCCCTGCCATCATCTTCTTGCGTGAACTCAATGTCACATGCTAAGGAGTTTCTTCCAGCCCACAGTTCTCGGGGTACTCATTTGTAAGACATGGGGGCGTCAGGTGTTGTGGGGTGAATCAAGGCTGCAGACTCATCGAGAGAAGTCCCAGGCATGAATCCATGTGGCCACCACACATTGCTAGGCCACCCACAGAAAAGGAGGGGCTGCTCTTGTCACTGAAGAGGAGATGGAAGCTTAGGAGACAGAAGCCTACTTGCCTGGGAGCATCACAGCTCATAAGCAGTGGAAATAGAACTTGGTGTTGGGTCCCTCTAGGCCTGGCTGCCTCTTGTGCTGTGGAGCCCAACATTTACTGGACCGTGGCTCCACAGGACCACACATGGGCCCCTTGATAGCGTCACTTGAAGATGGCAGTCCACTTGTGATTTGCTCTTCCCCTGGCAAGCCCTGGGAGATGGCTCCTCTTTTCTCTATGATTCAGCGGCTTTTCTTTTCAAAGAGCCTCTTCAGAAGGCCACCCCAACAAACAGCCTGCCTCTAGGGCGAGGGGAAATGCTTGGCATACACCCAAGCTTCTCCCTCGAGCTGTTTCCTATCATATGCTATCTGCATTCACACAGAGACTGAAGGGCACATATAAACACAATGCTATAAAATCACACCGAGTTCCCTGACTTGCTGGCCACACGTTATAAATCATGTATGTCATTCTGTGCACGTGACACAAGCATGCTTTGGGAAAAGGGCATAAGGACGGACGTGAAGAGGACGGTGTGACAGAGGGGCCACTGCAGGTGACATTGGAAAGAAGCAGCCAGCCCTTGTAGAGCCAATGGGACAGCCTAGTGGCGACTCCAACGCCTGCTCAGATGCTGAAAAGTCAATGAAGCGGACCCAAAGGGGTCACTCAGCTACTGAGCTGGAAAAGTCCACCCCCGCAGAAATGTGACTTCATTACACACACACACACACACACACACACA